ACAGTATTTGGAAGGCCAAGTAATTTACCTCAATTTAGGATAGACTCTCGAATTTTGAGGAGTCAAATTAGGATGAACGGATCATATAAACCCGAAGGCAAATATAATACAAGCCCAAACGAAAAAATATAAACAAGTCTAAATTGAAAACAACGTTCAAACCTATGATTGCGTTGGATAAAAACCGCAATTTTTATACGTGTGCATGCAAAAACAAATTTCTTGTTAGAGGGGTCTAAATACAGCACAAACAACATTTTCCAACAGACCAAAAAAGTGAAAAAGTATATTTTAACAAAACGCATTTGACTTACAGGTCGAACAACAAATGTTCTTAAACCCTGCTGACTGTCATTGGCGATTGCCAAATAAACGGATCACAAGGTGTAATAAATGGATCTTAATTAAAAATGTAATACCAAACAGAAAACAATAAACTTGCGGCAAAGATGGTATACCGCAAACAAAGGTGCAAAGAGTTTTGTACACCATATCCGGATTTCGACAATTAATGTCTCTTCAGTGATGTTAGGAATCGAAACAGTATTTGGAAGGCCAAGTAATTTACCTTAATTTAGGATAGACTCTCGAATTTTGAGGAGTCAAATTAGGATGAACGGATCATATAAACCCGAAGGCAAATATAATACAAGCCCAAACGAAAAAATATAAACAAGTCTAAATTGAAAACAACGTTCAAACCTATGATTGCGTTGGATAAAAACCGCAATTTTTATACGTGTGCATGCAAAAACAAATTTCTTGTTAGAGGGGTCTAAATACAGCACAAACAACATTTTCCAACAGACCAAAAAAGTGAAAAAGTATATTTTAACAAAACGCATTTGACTTACAGGTCGAACAACAAATGTTCTTAAACCCTGCTGACTGCCATTGGCGATTGCCAAATAAACGGATCACAAGGTGTAATAAATGGATCTTAATTAAAAATTTAATACCAAACAGAAAACAATAAACTTGCGGCAAAGATGGTATACCGCAAACAAAGGTGCAAAGAGTTTTGTACACCATATCCGGATTTCGACAATTAATGTCTCTTCAGTGATGTTAGGAATCGAAACAGTATTTGGAAGGCCAAATAATTTACCTCAATTTAGGATAGACTCTCGAATTTTGAGGAGTCAAATTAGGATGAACGGATCATATAAACCCGAAGGCAAATATAATACAAGCCCAAACGAAAAAATATAAACAAGTCTAAATTGAAAACAACGTTCAAACCTATGATTGCGTTGGATAAAAACCGCAATTTTTATACGTGTGCATGCAAAAACAAATTTCTTGTTAGAGGGGTCTAAATACACAAACAACATTTTCCAACAGACCAAAATAGTGAAAAAGTATATTTTAACAAAACGCATTTGACTTACAGGTCGAACAACAAATGTTCTTAAACCCTGCTGACTGCCATTGGCGATTGCCAAATAAACGGATCACAAGGTGTAATAAATGGATCTTAATTAAAAATTTAATACCAAACAGAAAACAATAAACTTGCGGCAAAGATATATATATATATAAATAGAGTCTATAAGAATCTACCAACCAGTAAACTTAATAGGTATTGGATCATCAAAATTGACAATACTACACAAACAGGGAAAATTATATGAGTCTAAAAGATTGTTATCGGTATTGTTACACAATCTTTTAGACTCATATATATATATATACTAGAACACACCCGCGATATCGCGGGACCGGGGCTGAATTAAAGTTCCTACGCCTTATTTTTAGTATTCGTATTGTCATCTGATAAAGTTATGCTGATTATAAGATGCACAGTTTTCTCTGCTTTCAAAATCTTTCTGTTTGAATCCGTCGACCCGGAACTGTTTCAAACAGTTACTGTAATCGATGTAAAAGGGTAAAATTTTCAGTATACCCTGTCAAGTATATATGTAAGCCTCAAATCTATGTCCAGCCTCAAATCTATGTCCTTTCCGCAAATCTATGTCCTTTTTAATATTGCGTCATAGACGTTCCAAATGTATGTCCTTTATTGTCTCAAATCTATGTCTTTTATTGTCTCAAATCTATGTCCTGTATTGTCTCAAATCTATGTCCTTTATTAACTCAAATCTATGGCTATTTTTGTCACAAATCTATGTCCTATATCGAAATGTGGTGACGTAAGACATAGCAAGACGTAATCAAGTAAAAAAATATGTGTAGTTTCATTCTTGAAGGCACATTAATAAAGTAACAAGTATGCTCGTTATGCCAATAATTTCTACTCAGAATTATGTTGTGGTTGTTGAATGTTGATGTCATGGTACACAATGGATTTTAAAAAATACATAAGATTCGAAACCGGAATAATTTCACCAGAAAATTTTTTTTTAAATAAGATAGTGGCACAAAATGTCGTTGTTAAACCGGCAATAAATTATACCCTAAACATCTTTATTTTGATCAAGAAAAGCAAACAATTTGAAAATGATGTAGTTTTACAATAAAATGTAAATCATACAATAATTACACACGCATGTAAAATTTTTAAGCACACACATGGATAACACATCCCAACTTAACATTGAATTATGGGAAATGACTTAATAAAACAAAAATCCTATAAGGCCGTACTTATTAAACTGGCATACATTTTCGCATGGCGAAACAAACTGGAAAAAGATTTAAGAAAAGAACACAGATTTGAGGCCGCATCTTTTAAACGAACATAGGTTTGCGAATGACGTCACGATTGAAAACAAATTTGAAAATAGGACACAGATTTGAGGCCGTATCATTTTTAACGGACATAGATTAGCGTTTGACGTCACGATGGGGCACAGATTTGAGAAACGGACACATATTTGAGGCCGTACACAGATCTGAGGTTTACATATATACCCTTATATAAGTTTGACTTGTAGCTTTCTTCGTTTATACGTTTATTAGGGGAACAACAAACGGTCTTTAGATTTAGTAGTATAGATATTAGGTGAACAAAAAACGGTCTTTAGATTTAGAAGTATAGATATATATATATATATGTTTGTTTAGACTAAAACAATCTATAAAGCAATAATTTTATTGAGAGTTGGTTTTACGGCATGAGTCTGCTGATCATTCTGACGTATGGTGTATAACAATTGTTATTGTTAATCCTGAAAATGTGTATGTGGTATAAATATCTGTCATACAAGTGGGAGGTTTTGTTTGTTTGTTTGTTGGTGTTTTACCGCCACTTTTAAGCACCGCTTTTGGGCTATTTCGTGGCGGCCAGTTTTTATTGGTGGAGGAAGCCGGAGTGCCCGGAGAAAACCACCGACCTTCGATAGGAAAACTGACAATCCTAGTCAATTAAGATTGGAGTCGAGTGCATGCACCTGCACGAGCGGGGTTCGAACTCACAACCTCAGTGTTGACTGGCTAGTGATTACAGTAGTAACTACTTAGACCACTCGGCCACCGAGGCCCCCTCTTTCTTTTAAAAGAGCATTCCTGATGGATGTATATCCAGAAAAGCGCTTCGGACGCACGGAATTCATAAAGTGTTATTTTTATTTATCATTAAGGCAATATATACTATAAATTCACATGTCTAAAACTGTTAACTCTGTGTTCATTCGATGCTTTTGCACTCAAGTGATAATTTTACCCAATATTAGCATTTTTGTTTTAGAGATCTTCACCTCTGAAACTTCAGAACAAGTTTAAGTCGAAAACTTAGATCGATACTGTATGTCTTTTACTTATAGTCCAGTGTTTGTCGGCTGCTGTCTGCCATAAATGTGTTTCCTTTATTGTTTTGGTTTAAATCAGGCCTTTGGTTCTCTCTTTTGAAATGTTTCACATTATTTCATCATATGGCTTTATATAGATTACCATGCAATATGGGTTTTACTCGTGGTAAAAGGCCGTATGGTGACCTGTACATTAGTTGTTCACATCCTTCGCCTTTGGTCTTTGGTAGATTGTTATCGTTCATTGGCTATCAGACCAAATCTACTTATTTATAATAGTAGCATAAATGGGTCTTAATTTTAGTTTGTGAATTATGTTCCGCTCCATCAGCTAACATGGCCGCTATGATAAAAAAAATCACAGAGATAAAGTGCAAATAATTGCCTTATGTTTTAAAAACTGTAGTTGATATAAATAATGCTAAGAAGTTCAAGATCTACTTAAAAACAATGGTTCTGTGTTTTCGTTAGATGTTTTCTGTTTTGTATCGATCTGATGAGTTAAGCCTTTTCATTTGATTCTTATAGTTTGTTCGTATATGTTGCACTGTTACACTTAGGGGTGGGTTCGGCGCCAGCAAACCAGTTTAACCCCGCCACATTATATATGTGCTTTCCCAAGTCAGGACCCTGTAGATCAGTGGTTGTCGTTGGTTCATGTCTGTCATATTTATTTTTCGTAAATTGTTTTGTTATAAATTAGGTCGTTAGTTTTCTCAATTGAATTGTTTCATACTTCATGTCGGGCCTTTTATGACAGACTACACGGTATAAGTTTTTCTCATTGTTGAAGGCCGTGTAGTTTCCTTTAATTGCTTACATCCACTTCATTTGAACTTTGGTGGATAGTTGTCTCATTTGCGATCATACCACATCTCATTATTTTTATAATGGGTGCAAAAAGTAATAGACGATTCTTTTGTGGAGTTATTGCCTTGTTATGATTGACTCATTGATTAACGACATGTGGCAAATATTATCAATGCACTTAGGAATGGAACAAAAATGTTCAGAAATTCAAGATCCTGTAGGAACTAGGTCCATCAAAATTGTAAGAAGAGTCATTACTGGACTACCCTTTTATGATGCAAACTTTAAAGGATAAAGAGAAACTATACACATAAATATTAGTAAGAAAACGAGATCTATAAATCATTTGCTGTTATTACTATTGAGAAGTCGACCACTTAATTTTTTTCTCGTAAAAATAATTTGAACGGCGGTGAAAATATTTCCTTTACTGTGCATGTATATCAGACTGTAGAAGAAATGCAAACTATAATTAATAAGTAGTTTGTTCAATACGTTTATTATAAAATTTTATTCACATTGTGTAAAACAGATACAATCATAAGGTATGGGTATTGAACATATAATTTTTGATAAAAAAAAATAAAATATCGCTATACTCGTTCGGCTTTATTTGTAACACAGAAATGTCATATTTTTCTGTTATTAGTGTTACGGGAAATACGATTACATAATGACAAACTGCTATAGTTATCGGAAGCTGTAAACAGAAAAGATTCAAATATAATTTGAAAAAGTCAGTCATTACCAAGGATGTTTTTGCTGAATTCAAATATTTCTTTATGGCAGTTTAACTTTTCTCTTCTAAAAACGACTTAGTTTCAACAACCATTCTGCGGCGCCATAGAAAATTATCTTAAAACTAAAAACACACGGGATTTTTAGTTATAAATCACGAAAGTTGCATGTGTAAATAGAATGAAATCACACTCCCCAAATTTCATCATGATTAAAATCACGATTTCATATAGTGGCTCTACCATAAGTTTGTGTACGTCACCCTTAGGTGACAAACTGTTACATAACATTACAAATTGTTTACAGTAATTGAAAATAACTTATGTAATATGTCCCGACTTTGTGTCCGGAGAATAACCCCACTCAATAAACATTCGTCATGAAATTTTTAAGATAGAAAAATCGAGAAATCGAGAAATTATCGTTGGTATATAGCTTCCTTATATTCTAAGCTGTGTTCTTACACATGCAGTCTGTGATTTTCCTTTCAAGATAAATACAAATATACCTTAACGCTGAGGACAGGAAAACTTGTTATAGTGATAAAAAAGCAATACCATTTTGTTCATTACACACATCGATTTCTTTTACTTTATCACAATAAAAAAAATTATAACTAGTATCTTAAGAAATGCATTTACAATTAAATTCAGTTAAAAACAACAAAATAAGCTCAGCAACAGAAGAATTATCCTCGTCTTTTCTTTTACAATTCATAAAGAACGTGTTCTTAATGTTACTGAATATTAATAAAAGTATCTTTCTTGCATTACTGATTGTGGAAAAAAGAGTTTTACATTAGTATACAGAGAGATATGAGAACAAAAGGAGTCTTAATCGTCTGTCATCTTAACTTTAAGGGACCGGAATTTAAATCAAACATTACACATAATTATGCGTTCGGAGCCATTTTTAGATAAGCCTCCAACATGAACTAACACTGGATAACGTCTGGAAAGCGACAAAAATACCAACACACCTGTCTCTATCAGATGCTTTCAGAGGATCTTTGGTAAATTCAAATACTATCAATCATTTGAAAATACATCCGATGTTTACAAACAGCCGCAAGGTTTTTATCTTATAAACAAACAAACAAATAAATAAATATGATGATGCATGCATTACAGCTTAATAATGAAAAAACTGATTCATTTCACATTTTACAAGGCATTTTTCATTTATTTACAAAAATCAAATAAGTTACATCATACATGTAATAAACGTGTACAAACTACATGTATGCAGGCCTTCATACAAAAATAATAAATAAATACATATCCCTGAGATAACAAACACAAACTTGAGCGCATTGTCATTTGGATTTCTTAAAACACCGGGTTATTGACTTATGTATTTGCAATTCTAGTCTTTTCTTGTAAATTTTGCTGGTAAATCATCAGCGGGATGAGGAACTGGTATTATTTTCATCTTGGGATTAATATTCGATATTGTCCATTGACATGATCGCACAATTTCAAGAGCAAAAATTTTCAGTATAAGTAACGCGAATTGTTTCCCTGCGCAACCTCTTCTACCACCACCAAATGCCAGAAAATGTTCATTGTCTCGTCTTTGCAAAGAATCCCAGCGATCGGGTTCGAATTTATCTGGATTTAAAACCAATTCGTTACCAAGTTCATGCGTGTCTCTTATGCTATAAGCAACTGTCCAACCTTCTGGAATTTGGTATCCCTGAAAAAGATTTAAATTAGGCCGTTAGTTTTCTCAATTGAATCTTTCATATTTTTTATGTCGGGGCCTTTTATAGCAGACTATACGGTATGGGTTTTTCTCATTGTTGAAGGCCGTACGGTTGCCTATAATTGCTTACATCCACTTTATTTGAACTTTGGTGGATAGTTGTCTCATTGTAATTATACCTCATCTCTTTATTTTTTATATTAAACTAGTTCGATAGAGGAAAAAGCATGTATTCAATAATTTTTTTTTATGAATCTATATATTATAACTTATTTTTCGACATTATGATGGCAAATTAAAGAAAGCTTACAAAAAAGCAGTTGTGTACAAGTTGTTGTCTTTGGTACCTTAATAGCTTCCATGAATGTTTTAGTAAATTATATACAAATATGTATTTTTTTTTCTTCTTTATTACTCGAAGGACAGTGTGATTTTACAAGTAATTCTTTGTCATTGAAAAAAAATGATAATTCTGTTGAATGTTATTTTCATTTTAAATTTATAATTGAGGATACAAAAGTTTTCAATAAAATTTATCTATATTAATGTAAATAAAATGTGTAATTAGTAAAGTCATTTATATTTGTAAGTACATGTATCCATATAATAGAGATGCACTTACGTCGATTTCAAATGTTTTAAGGACCTTTCTGTAACCTCCTCCAATAGGTGGTGTAATTCGGATAGCTTCCTTCACAACGTTGCTTAAATATTTCATTTTGTTTAAAATTTCAAAGTTTAGATCGCCATAATTACTTTGACTGAGTCCAAAAGATTTCAGTTCTTCCTCGATTTTGCTAACAACATCTTTGTTTTTGGTCAACTGCAGAATTATAGTTACTGTTGCGCTTGCTGTAGTTTCATGACCAGCAAACAGAAGTTCCAGCCCTACATCTTTAATTTCTGTCACTGAAAGTCTTCCTGTACCTGACATATCCATCAGAAGACTAAGAGCATCTTGGAAGGCATCACAAGAGCCACGTTTTTCTTTCTTTTGAATACATTCTCCTATTTTATTTAACAAAACAGTTCTTGCTTTAAGACCCTAAAATACACAATAATTATCATTTACTAACAATCTGAGACAATAAGCAAAGAATGTCCGTGGATGTTCTATAAAATGATTAAACAGTTAAACATATCAAAAGCAATATGATCTTTCATGGGCCGGAGGAACATTGAATTTGAATGTTGTACATTATATTGGAGGAGTAAATTCTTTTCGGATAACACGCAATGCACTTGATACAATACAGGTAGTGGCTTCCCAATATCTTATACGATCTTCTCACGTCATATGTAAAATAAAGATAAAAAGAGCAAGTATAATTCCTTCATACTACATGATTTTCTGATAAATTCTTGTGAGGTATTAAATTATCGCCTCTGATACCGCAATTGTATCTATTAAAACGCACTTTTTTAATTAAACTTTGTGCTTACCTTGTAAAGTCCCAGTCCAGGAATCTGCATTGGTAAACTAAACAAATTTGATAGGAAGGTATCAAAATGACCTAATAACTCTGTTTTTTCGACTTTGTTCATTTTTATACCAAGAAGTACTCTGCATGCTATCTCAAATGTCAGACTTTTGGATTCTTGATGTGCAAGGATGTTTTTTTTTGTACACCAGTGTTCAATACAGTCTTTGGTTATACTTTGAACGACTTTAGTGTATTCCTCTAATGCTGTATTACTGAATGCCTTGAAAAGTGCCTTTTTTCTGAGATTATGGATATTACCACCTGAACCTGTCAGACTTCCATCCCCAAGTAGAAGTTTGGTACTTGTAGGCCACTGAGCAGTTACAAGATCATTTTCACCAGCCAAAATTCTTTTCACATTCTGTACACCAATGACACGAATAGTTGGTTTCCCTAATAAATGAGTTTTATATAGTGTACCAAATTTTTCTCGTCTTTTATCAAAAAATGCTTTGCCCTGAAAAAGAATGATGCCACTATGAATGTTATGTAAATAAACATGCGTGATCTATTACATTATTTCACTTGATTTTAAAATGAAATGTCACAAATGGCTTTGTAAAAGGTATATAAATATGGTTCTCTTGTCATATAACAAACATATCAGTGTTTAGTATCGTCTGGCAATGCAAGTTAGAAGTAAAGAAGTATATACAATAATGTCTCTTTTACCAGATAACGAACATATCACTATTTAGTACTGACTGGCAATGCAAGTAAAGAAGTATATAGAATAATGGCTCTCTTACCAGATAACGAACATATCACTGTTTAGTATCGGCTGGCAATGCAAGCAAAAAGTACAGAAGTATATAAAATAATATCTCTTTTACCAGAAAAATATCACTATTTGATTATCGGTAATGAAAATTATACGTATGCACAAGTTTTCTACATTTTTTTCTGCAATAGAATATTAATACTTTTCGCAGTGGGTTTAAATGAAGTTTACCTGAATTAAGAATCCGAGAGTTTCTCCGAACACAGGGAATCCATAACCTCCTGGTGGTAGAGGCAGGTTTGATTTAGAATCCCTCTGGCAGTTATTATAAACCTCCCACAAATGGCAACATATAACCGTCAGTAGAACAGGGGTTATAAGTGGTATTAATAATTCCTTAATAAGCCTTACAAGCGCAACTTTAACAAAAAATCTGAAAAAAGAGATATATCTTTTTAAACTCGTGAATGATTTTTAAATCAAGAAATTTCGAAGATATAGTTAAACATGCTTTTATAATAACGATGTCTTTCATTATCTTCTCTTAAAATTGTATATTTTTAATAATATACTGAAAGGTACAAGTGATAATAATTGAAAAGTATCGCAAAATTTGATATTGAAATATTTCGAAAAGAATTAACATATATATACCTATGACTAAAGTAAAGGAAATATCATAGGTATCCCTTCTTGTTTCAAAGTTGTGTCATTAGTTACTTTAAATTACTTGAAAATAAAAAAATAACAACATTTAAAAATAAACAAAAAATCCACAAAAACAACTATACAATTATCGGTCATTTTCTGGAAAAACAAAGAAAATATTACACACGCAAAACGTGATATGGAATAATACCTTACACTGTAAAAACGTGGAAAAAGTATACTAATGCAAACGTAACGTATGTAAAATGACATAACAATGCATAAGAAATTAATTCATATAATACAATACCATTTCATATCCGATTTAGATGACCTCACTTCGGGACAACTAAGATTAGAATATTATTCTATAAATATAAGTTGCTTTAACCGCATTTTTAAATCTTTCAGGGTGCAATCTAAACCAAATTTCGATTTCCCTTACTTTGCTTTATTAAATATACATGTATAGGCATTAAGTCCTTAGAAATACTATTTATCTTCATACATTTTTGTATTTACACACATTACATTTTGATGAAAGACAACTTACACAGTAGTAAAAGTGTTGAATTCTTCAATAACTCCATTATTTTCTGTTAAACTGCTACAATTTGGCGAAATCAGGCATTCCATATTATATCTAATAATTATAGAGGAATCGGTCATATCACATTTATAAGTTTTCGACTTTAAATACAGAAGTGATTCTACGAGAGTATTTATATTATGTGGAGGTGTTTTGGACAATTGACCATTGGGGACCAAACTAGACATGTGCTAACGTAATCAATGACACATGAATGGGTGGAGCCTAACAGGAATGACCACTTGAATGACCAACATGTTAAAAGGTCAAACTGTAATCAAAAGTGCACGATCATTCATTGATACGTTTTCTTATTTTGCTTTGTTGCACATAAACTCATCAATTGTGCAGGATGAAATTTAAAAACTAATTTTTCTTGAATAAACTTAAAGAAAGACCTTAGAATAGTTTTATCTAGCTACTTGTTGGGATTTATAGATATCATAACCAGACTTTGAGAAAAAACTTCTATATATTTTAAAATATAAAAGTAATATTCTTTTGAACAAGTATGAAACTTTGAAAAAAAAACCTTTTTAATATGAATATACAATGCAAGTGTTTCCCCCGACATTTATGTATGAAATGGAAATGGACGCTACTTCTAAAGAGCGGAAGACAGACTTTAAAGCTATCTCGAATCTGAATATTTTAATGGTTGAAAGTCCATCAGCCAAACATCGTACCAAGAGTAATAATATTATAACTTTAACCATGTTCCGGTTGAAATAATGATTAAAAACCAATCACTGTGTAAAAAGACATTGTGGTTATGACCGAATTGAATATGCTTCAAAAAATCACTATAAAGTCAAATTGGCCTCAAACAAACTTTTTCTTCAACCTCGGACAATCAAACTCATAAGTCTAAGACGAACTGACAACGTCATGGTAAAAAAAAAAGAAAAACGACCAAAGACAAACAGTCTACAAAACAATACATAGAAACACTGTTCATTATTTATGACAAAGTAATAAATTTTCGTGAATTTATTTATATATGTTCTGGTTGGAGAGGGCTAGAATTCTAAACCATATGCATTACTTTGTTTTTTACATTCGTAATAGAATGTAATGGTACGTAAGACACAGGAAAGAGAGCTTTGAGAAAAACCCCTAGTATATGACGTATATTTTCCTGCGATGTAATTACGAAAAAGTATATAATGAAATGTAAAATACTGACAGATCAACGTCTGTTCGTCATTATTCACAATTGTATGAATATTAATGCCATAAACATGCTATAAGTATTTTTTTAGCATATATCTTGATCACAAAATATCCTAAATTGTTAAATAATATCTATGAAAAATGAATAGAATAGACATATTAAAATCCAACTCGAGGTACCAGTCATTCAAATTACTGAACAAAAATGAAAAACATGATTGAATACATGAAACATGACTCAAAATCTTTACTTAGTAAAAATAAATGCAACAGTATGAAAATAAGAAGATGTGATTGCCAATGAGACAATTTTCAACCTAAGACCAAATGACGTAGAATTTAGCAACTATATGTCACCTAACGGCCTTCAATGAGTAAAACCGATATCACAAAGCAAGTTATAAAAGGCTCCGAAATGACGAATGTAAAAAATGAATACAACACTTTATAAATGTAATGTGTCCGAAGCGCTTTTCTGGATTTACTTTCATCAGGAATTTGTATAACATTTCAAACGAGAAAACTAACGACTTGATTCATGTAGTTCACCGATGTCTACATATCAAAATTCGGTGAGAAAAAAAGATAAAAATCAAGGTAACAAACAAGATCTTAAGAGAATTACATGTCATTGAATTTCAAAATTTTTCTTTCAATATTTACACACATATAATCATATTTCTATATAAAAAAAAAGACCAAAACACAACAATTGTATTCAATATTTTTTTCTGATTTCAAAGAAATTGTGTAGATGGTTGTTTTGAAATGTGTTAAAAATATTTTTAGTTATGTGGTACAAATAACCCTAACAGGAAATAAACTCCGTACTTAGGGTCACGAATAAGGGAATGAGAGGTTATATTCGGATCTCCTTGATTAGACTGACACGCGATATCATTAATTTTGACTGGATAATTTTACTCTCTCTGATGCATTATTTTTTTTCTTTTTGATACTCTTGACTTCATCATCACCTAATTTAAAAGTTCACAGCGAAAGTAACCCATAAATTGGTGCAGTATGTTTACCATTATCCCGGTGTTAAACCTATACAATATTATCAACTTCTGAGTTGATATTTTTGATCTACTATTTTTCTGTTTTTAAGAGTAGTTTTAGATCCATACTTTCTTAATTGTATAATTTGATAGTAACAAATAAATGTCTAATAATCACAAATCGGTCAACATCGAATAAACGCAATGATTGAGAGCAGAGCTATCATGTTTGTGCTGTTAGTGTTTTATAATGGATATGACTTCGTACTTTATTTGGCCTTTTTAACTAACTGATAAGTCTTTTGTAGACGAAACTCGCGTCTGGCGCAAATACAAAATTTCAATCCTGATAATCATACATAAGAAATAATGTGAATAAAGCTATCGTATGATACAGATAAAAGGAACTGCATACTAATACATGCATTTATTTTGACTTTTTAGATTCAACAATAATTATGTGATCATATAGTAACATACATATTCATCGACGGGGTTTAACTTTTGATACAACTGTTATAAAAGTGGGAGGTTTTAGCTAGCTATAAAACCAGGTTTAACCCACCATTTTCATCGGAAATATACCAATTCAGGAAAATGACAGTAGTTTTCCAGTCGTTCCGTTGGTTGATATAGTTGAGCGTTTGATTTTGTCAGGTTTTATGGACGTTCTCCCTTTTTGAATTTACCTTGGAGTTCGGTATTTTTGTTAATATATTTTCTACTTATGTACCTGTACAAAAGCACTGTTGTATTATATTCCGTATCATTTTCGAATACAAACAAAGCTGATTTTTAATTGTGTGTGTGTATGTGTGAGTAGGGGAAACTGACAAATGGTAAATTATAGATTTATAGTAAGCACGACATGAAGGTTGTCGGACAGCAATGTTTTCTATTTTGATTTATCCGTGAATTATAATTGTTCCATTTATTTATTACAGCAGCCAATCCAGTTTGTACCCGATTATTTGCTCTTATGATTCCTCCGGTTTCTTAAAGGGTGAAATCGAGATACATTAATTTTGTAAAATATCTTTCAATTCGGGTTCAAATTAAGGATTTGTGAACATCTGAACCCGGGGCGGTCGAACACGGATTAAAATTACACCCCATTTGAGTTGTAGTATCATAAACGAGATTTTTAATTTATGCTAAATCATAGCATACCGTTTTTAATTCGGTATAGTAATTCATTGAAAGTGATATATTCAAGTAGTTTCTGGATAAAAGATAGGAAAATACATGTTTTTTCCGAAGCAAAGTAAATTTTATTGGGTGCAACGTTGCTTAATTCTTTAATTTCGGATTGGACGGTACTTAACCTAAATCCACACGGAGGGAGCCTTAAACGGCTTCAAAACCTAGCCACGGTTTAATTCACCTCCTTTGTTCATTGCAAGCTACTCCCCAAAATATTAGTTAAAAAGTCAAATTTAGCTTTTTCATTCGAATGTTATTATTGTTTAAATACAATGAGGTTTTTGAGATGCTTGGCTGTTCTTAAGGTTTTTAAAATTATATAACAATTTCAATCGTTGTTCTGGTTACTAAATATTACGCATAGAGTTCATTGTTAAAGTTGAATGTAACAGATAAACTGAATGTCATTGAGTGATGGGTCATATCTACAGCTGAATCTGTATGTATACGAACGTTTTACTTTTCAAGACTTAAGACTCCAGAGCGATATTAAAGTTCACAATATAAACCGCGTGTGTGTACCAGTGACCTTAGAACATAGTAAACATTCTTATTTTGATCTTTCGTGAAAACAACTTTTCTCCTTTAGGTATTTACAATAATAGAAACATAAGTACACAACATTAAATTTATCATTATAAGTATAAATAAAATTAGCCGTGACCGCAGTATGACATTAGAAAACTTAAAACGGACCACGATGAACAATAATCAATTGCATAAGCGGCCCTGATTACCCGGACACGGTGAGGTCACAGGAATTTTACAATGGCCTCACCGCACGCTGTTTCAGGTCAAATAGTAATTTAAAAGGACTAAAGTATTTAAAATATTTTGTTCTCATTGGAGATATTTCATTCATAAACCATGTTACTACGAGTATAAGAATTGTAACAGATGGTTGAACTGAATAAAAGCCATTTTTGACTTTTGTTAAATGGACACCCGTTGTAAGAATACACTGCAACCTTTACAGACGAACAAAAGCGGGAACATAGAACATTTGTTGCAGAACATCCCACTAACCACATCCGGACTAATTAAATTTAGCTATCAATGAATCACAAAATCAATGATGATCTTTGATAATGACATACCTGTACGGCTTTCTCGTTTTCAGACATTTACAAAACAGATACATTGAGATAAGAACATGTACAAATGTATTTGGCGTTATATATTATATTTGAAAAGATGCAATACTTAGCTGAACATGGTGAGAGTTTGATGATTCATGCCTCGCGATCTAGAATAAAAGGCAAACATATTAAATCATATCGATAGATACCTGACATTTTCTGCTGGATTTTACCTTCGAATTCAGTAACGAGTGATGATCGCATAGTAGATTTCGGTTTCTGTTGATGCGAATGATCTCATTATTCTTAGAAACTGCGTTTATTTTAACGGTTGTATGTCTGCCTTATTTGATATTTGAACATGGGTAAACTAATTATATATTTATGTACTGCATTATGTAAAGACACAAATACTCATTTTAACAATGGAACGAAAAAGAAGAAAACACATTATTTTTATAATAATGTTCTTTTTGCCCTAAGCTCACTCGATTCGGTTTTTTTTCTTAATTTTTCTCGTTAAATTGGTCAACTTTTGCCTCTGGACATAGAAATGTACAATACTGACACGTTATTATTTCCCCACTGTTGTAAATGAAAAAATGACGTCCATC